GCAGGTACCATATTACTCTGTTAGCCTAAGTAAGACTGATGAATATCACTGAACATCTTTAGTTTTGCAGGTATTTGGTCATAGAATACTGGACACATTCAAATATGAGCTGATGATGGCAACAAGCCACTAGCGCTACTAAAAACTAAAATTTTGTGACCTACCTGTAAAGATTCTGGTAGTTTGAGGGTTATATGCATCAAACTTATTTTGTGTTCTAAGTTCTTACAATGACATTTCAAAGAGTCTTTTGAAAACCAGATATCCCAGTTCCTCTACAGAACACATGGTCCACCAATTTAGAAAGAACTATTATTCTTGTAGAAAGTAGTTCCAATGAAGGTATATTCTTTTTCCATTTGGGTAAATCAACACTAAGTCTCTTAACAGCGAGGCTGAGAAATGTATTGATATTCATTGTGTGTTTTAATACTGTGTTCACATGGGGGATTTTTTGTTCTTTGATAAATAATTATACTAAAACAAACAATTTTGTATAATAATAAACTGAGATGTCTCCCAGCATGACTTCTGGAATATTTCAGAGCACCAGCTGACAGCAACTCCCCACTACTACAGGTGCTCTGTGAGCCATCATTATGTCAGTATTTCACAGATCCCCACTCGTGTCTGCAGTCTGCCTACTCTGTCCTGCTGTCATCTCTTGTACTCATTCTCCCTGTTCAAATGGTCATCTAGTATTCCTGTCACAGTGTGCTGTGAGTTGAGCTGACCTGGTGTCAGTCTGCAGAGATGGGGTATCGTGATGGGCCGTGGTAGAGCTGCCTTCCACAGCACCCAGGAACAGAGGTGGGGTGTGAGCCGGAGTGTTAAGGAGAGTGGGGTTGGGAGGGTTGTAAGTCGTTGTGAGAAAGGGGAAACTGGCCCGCCGCAGTGGGGGAGGGCTGTGCATGGGACGGGGGTGGTACTCTGTCAGTTCCCCCTGAGATGAAAGATGGTGACCTTGGAGATGAAACACAGATTAAACACCAAGATTAAATAAATATTGCAGGTTGGTTTATAGATAATTTTACTGTCCCACAATGCAGATTGAAGCTTTGGTAGGCCCTGTTAAAAGCTAAATTTAAAAACTAGTTGGGTTACAGACCATAAGATGCCCTGCTTTTAGCACTTTATAATACTATGAAGAATGATTTTACGGTTCCGCAAAGTCAGTCTTGACATTTCTGTTTTCATCCTGAAACTGTGCCATTACAGTGGCTCCACTGAAATGAATGGAGGAGGTATGGTTGCCCAAAAATAACCTTAGACTTTGTATACAACAACAAAACATCAAGGTCCTTTTACCACAGAATTCACAGCCATTACATGGTACAATTATTAAAATGTGTACTCTTGCTCTGTACAATAAAAGTTGCTCATCTGAGCAAAAGTTATTATATTATCAGAGGATACAATAATTATGGAGCACAATGCCCCAAAGCTTTATAAGTGGCATGTTTACAAAAACAGCGTCAATGTATGTAGATGTCAATACTGGGGCTATCGAAGCTGGCAAGAGGGAGGTTGTAGGAGGATGGCATCTGGCTGGACAGGGTGGGGAACGAAGGTACTGCAGGGGTGAGCTGCGGCAGCTTGGCGGCTAAGTGACCAGAAAAAGAGGCAACTCCCATACTGAAAAAAATATAAAAAATAAAAATAAAATAAAAACTAATAAAATATTTGCACCACCAGGATAAAAAATATGCCAACAGGACATACTGCACTTTAACTAAAAGGGTTTACTGACCTATTGGGTACCAGTGTGGGGTTCATCTGGTGATGTAGGGGGCTGATGCTGCATCCAGTTCTACTCTGTGCATGTTCAACCTTTTCTGCAATGGAGCGTTCCACTTTCCTCCACTTAGCCCTGCGGTTCTGAAACCAGACCTGGGACACAGACAGAAGAGATTGTATAGCTGGTGAAAGAGGGATCAGGAGAGAAAACAAAGGGATAAACAGAGGAAGACAGAATGCCAAGACACATTTTTTGTCTATTATCTACACTTCCTTTATTGATCCATGGGAAGAATTCATAAGAGAACATCAAAATGCAAAAAATGGACATCTAACCATAATTCTCTGAGGTGTGACACCAACTGAAGCCGCAATGATTTTCCGCTTCTCTGCATCAGGATAGTGGTCCTCGTGGAACAGGGCCTCTAAATGCTCTAACTGATCTGCACGCACACGCACAAGTGCACACAAACACAATGCAGGTCAACTATTTACATAAACAAATCTGCACACACCTGGACAAGCAGACAATTTGGTTACCAGTGCTGTAGAGGGTTCGTGTTTTCTTCTTCGGAGCAGGGGGCATTAGGCCACCGTCAACAGCCTCTAACCCCAGAGGGAAGCTGAGGGCCCGGCATCGGCCTCTGCTGCTGTAACGGATGGATCGTCGGGTGGAGTAGACCTGGGTGACCTCCATCTGTCACGGACCAGCCAAACATTATCTCTGCAACCATCATCTCAGCTAAATTCTGTTAATTTATCTGATTTTACTGTGCCTTAAAATGAGGATTTTCTCATTGTCAAATGTCACATTTCTTTGAAGCCAAACATAATTTTGGAGAATGAAACCAAAAGCCAAGTGGGGTTTGTCTGCCAGAACACCCAAAGCGTACAGAGAAATGCACAGCTGACAGCAATGAGTTTTGGAAACAGAAGCTACTGCAGATTTTCAAGGATGAACTATTTAATTTCTAGTTTTGTCTATGTGCCTAGGGGTGCAGGTAATGATTTATATTTAATTCTCAATTAATCTGTCATTATTTTCTTTATTGTTAGGTCTATTAAATGTCAGAATACATACATACGTGTATATATACACATATACATATACACACACACACATATACATAACTATATCTATATCTATATAGATATATATATAAAAAAAGACCACTGCAAGTTCCCAGAGCCCAAAGTAGTCTTTGAATAGCTTTGTTTGTCTGACAGTCAAAAACCCAGTTTTACTATAATTCAAAAGAAAGAAAAAAAAGCATCAAATCATTAAAAGCTGGGACTTTATTTTTTGCTTAAAAATGCAGTTAATTAATTGTCAAAATAGCTGATGATTAATCTACAGTCAACATTTTTCCAGCTCCACTATACTCATCTTTCTTCAGTGCTCCCTGTATCTGTGAGACACTATCCACCATCTCAGCTCGCACAAGATGCATTCACAGGCAAAGCAAAACAAACAGCTTTTTCCTGATTTTAAGGATTAGCGTGCTTTCATGCTTCCTTTTATTCTGCAAAGGGTGCCGCTGAGGCCTGAAATCAGGGAAATTGAAATTCTCGCTACTGCTCAAACTGTGACTTTATCTATGATAATCTACGACTCTGGGTGGAGAACAGAGCCTTCCTATAAAATATAAATTACAGATTAATTTCATGGTGTAGATACAATCTTCTTATACTGCCAAATAATGATAAAATGTCATACATTCTCCCCATATCCATGCACATAGCTGTGTTGCTGGATGAAATGATCTGCCACAATCTGCCATCAGATTCTGCATGTGCCCGTGCCAGTGCTTCAATGAACCTTGCTCGTATCACACTTCATCACACACTGAGCCAAATATTAAAATCTGGGATGCTCTTTTCATGGCTGCCATCATTAATACCGCAGAAGGCTGTAGGTGTGCATTTCATACACACTTGACTGTAATTATATACAACAAATTAGTTACCATCAGAAACCTTGAGAACCATATGAGAACATGCCGGAGTGTCTTTTGTGCTGAAGAAGATAAACATCATGCTGCATAGCCAGACATTGTTTAAACCCACAGAACTTTCTGGTGATGTTTTGAAAACATCCCAAAGCTTATAAAGATCTCAGTCAGGGACAGGTTTAAAAGGATGCATAAAATGTGTAACAGACTTCCACTAGACTGAATTGTACAGCTTTACAAAACATGGAGAATTTCAGTAACCATCAGAGTCTGTTTACAGGTCTTATGCAGTACTACTGCATATGTGGGAAAAGGTGTTTATCACAAATCAGATAAAGCGACATCAGTTGCAAATGATGACCGAGTTTAAAAATGGGGTGTGGAGTGGAGAAAAAAGTAAGCATCAGATCTCTGCCATTTTCTGCTTGAAGCTAGTGGCACGAGGCCACTATCAGCATAACGCAACTGAATCTCCTACCCAGTTAATTTGCATTGTGGGTAATGTAGGCACGTGATTTTGACAGGGAAGGAGAACGTGTGACATCTCTGGTTCTGCTGCATCAATTACCCTTTTGTTTTAGGGAGTCTGACAATGTTATGATGCTAAATCAATAACACAATGAAGGAGAAAACTGTGTTAAAGACTCAGAAATAAGTTCAGGTCCAGTGTTGCTCACTCTACATGTTCACAGACAGGGTCTGAAATTAAAGTTTTGACTCACAGGCCAAAGTGGCTGGTAGATGAAAAATACACTAGCCAAACATTTTTTACAGGCCAAAATATTAAATTGTCTTTTTACCCACACTTGCTTCAAGATTTCTGTGAGATCATAAGCGGTTTTGTTGAATACAAATGTAAAGAGGCCAAAGCAAAATCTGAGGAAAGTTATTTTAATAGCTTACATCAATCAAGAGTTAATGTTCTTTTTTTTTTTTTATTAAAATTTAAAAGCCACAATGCAACTCAAGAAGTCTTGATTGTAAAATGTGCTATTAAGTGTACTTCAAGAACAATCAAATTAAATTTGAGGTTTTGTAAATGCATTGGATGCTTAATCATTTGAACCACCTTAAAACTCTTCCTGAGACACCTCATCTCACCTCAAGTCTGGCCTCCTGTCTGTGTCAGAGCCTGGCACATCCACACGCATGTGCCCATGTTCCGTGGGGACCCGCCGCTACTCTGCCTCTTAATGGCTATGGTCAGATGACTGGTTAGACAGACGTGGATAGTAAGTATCACACCGTGTCTACACCAAAAGCATTTCAGCCTTGTTTTAGAGACATGTGTGTAACCATACTCCTATTTTTCAGCTCACGTATCATTGGCACTATGCATGTGTGGCCTAAACGCATTCATACGCTTGGCTCAGAAAGCCGATCAGAGGCACAGTAGGGGCAGTTCTTCAGAGAATACAGGTGTGTGTGTGTGTGTGTGTCTCCAACTCCGACAGTCATAAGCAGGGCACCCACAGTAGAGACTCTCAGATGATACTGTTTTATTACATGACTATTTTGCTACATATAGCAGGTGTTAATTTTGGACCATGTTCACAGATCACTGAGTGTGACTAAACAAGCCAGTGAATGGTGAACAGTAACGTCTCACCTCGAGAGGCCGTGGGCCCTGCTGGGGGAGGCTCTGCAGTCTCTTTGTCCCGTGGGGCTGAGGAGCTGCAGGTTGAACTGGGACTGAAGACTGCGAGGAGTACAGCAGGGGAATGGGAACCTGGGGACAATACACCCCTGCGCCCCCACAGCCCAGGTAGATGGGGTCGGACAAGTCGCAGCCGTTCATCATTCCAAGGGAGGGCTCTGTCAGGGCCAAACTGTCCTCTGAGCTCACCGCTGCATCCTGCACCTGACTCCTCTCCTCCTCCTCAGGCCTCTCATTAACCTCTTTCACTGCTCTCCTGTTTCTCACTCGATCACTTTGCTTCTTACCTCGCCTTTTCCTGCTCTTTTTCTGCTCATCTTTCTCTTCTACACTTTTCGTCTCTTTATTCTGTTGTATATCAAGAATTGTTTCTTTGCTGTTCTCCTTCTTGTTGTCTTCTGTCTGTACCTCCTCCACTTCCAGCGTACCCTCTGGCTTCACCTGCTCCTCTTCTCCCTGTGCCACCACAGCTTCCCTCTCTGACACTGTCTGTTCTTCTCCCTCCTTCTCTTCTCGTGCTGCCTCCTCCCCTGCCTCTTCATCCTCCCTCTGATTAAACACTTCCTCCTCTTCTTCTCTCCTTCTCTTCCTCCTCATCCTCCGTTGATCATTACTTATTTCCAAATCCACTTCCTCACACAGGAGGTTTGGACAGTCTGCAAGAGTGAAGCAGGATGTCATTTATTTTTATCCAGGTTCTGTTAAGCCTGGATCACGTTCACTGAGGTAGTATATCATCATTTGTGGTCAGTTATCTGTAATTTGTCTCTAGATTTGCAGAGACTTCCACACAGTGTTACAGCCTGTCCCAAAATGCCACAAACACATGGTCTGAAAAAAGCCTATGACAGAAACCAATACTTTTAACTTTTAAGCCCATCCAAGAATAATTTACTTGAGGACTTCATAGGGCTGCACCTTAACACATTTTAGCATTACCCATTAATCTGCTGATTTTCTCACTTAACCAAATAATGCATTGGTCTATAAAATCAAACACAATGGACCATAACTACTTAAAAAAATACTTGATTATTACAATTGCTGCAGATACATTTTTTGGTTAAACTAATCAGTTAATTGCTTCAGTTCTAATTTATACCAGCATCCAAACCATGCTGCATCTAAATGTAGCTTTAAAAACACTAAACATGTAATGAAACAGCAGTGGTGGTAACTGCATACATTTACTCAAGTATAATTTTGAGATATTTGTACATCGCAATTTTCGTTTTCTGCTACTTCATACTTAAACTTCACTACATCTTAGAGGCAAGTGTTGCACTTTTTACTCCACTACGTTTATTTAATTACTTTATTCTGGAGTTACTTTACATAATCTGAAAGAATATGCAATATAATCATAAGACTTTATTCATCCCCAGTGGGAAATTCACAAACTACCCATCAGTATGTAAAGCAGTTTAATTATAAGATCTGCTTTTACCAGATGCAAAAGTGTGATGTACACAATAGTGTATCCATAATTATAATCCAGTATGATATATTAATGTGAAATGTGTCATTCAGCATGATGTGTACTTGTGTACTTTGTATTTCTAGTACAGTTTGATGCCAGTACTTTTGTACTTTTACTCAAGTAACATTTTGGATGTGGTATTGCTCACTTTAGTTACGTAAAGGCTCTGAATACTTCTTCCACCACTGTTAAAACAGTTAATGGAATAAATAAAAATGTGGCAAAATAATTAAAACATTTTTGACATAGGAATCTCCTGCAGGCCATACATATATTCCACCATAAAAGTGCCTTTACTGTAAGAAAATAACTTGAAGGTGTTAGAGCAGTTGTTTCTTCCACGGGTCACGCAATGACCTGCAGGTTCAATAAAACCTGATAAGCGTCCTCCTGCAGCTGCAGTGGCTTAATTAGTGTCCCAGCTGTGCACTGCCTCGTGCCACCTCACCTGGCCGTTAATTAACTCTGCCAGGCTAGCTGCTGCTAAACTAGCTAACCTGTCCCCATATACAAACACTGGGTCGTCAATGTTAATAACCGAGATTTAAATCCTTAAATTGTCTCAGTGGAGTCGAGCAGCACGGGAAGCTGCACCTCACAGCAAAGTCTGTGAGCGTTACACACATCCAGGAAGTTTTAAAAGTCTTGTCAAAGTTCACAAAACGGTAAAGGCGTTCAGTGTGTCTCTGGTCTGCAGGCCAAAACAAGCTAATAAACGACGAAACAATTAAATGACAGGTTCAATGTCCTTACCTTCAGCCAAAGCACCGTCTCCGTCCATATTAGCGACTCACACCAGCCTCAAAACCAATAAACTTGCACTAATAATCAATTAAGCCACGCAGAGCCGCGATGCGAATTGCTCCCGCACTGCAGGCTAATCAGGTTGATTGATTGATTACCTAATACGAACTATCACGTGAAGAGTGAAAGCGCGTCAGCCAATCAGCGACAGAACAGGTCGAGCCCAGATAGAGCAGCTTGTGTCTGTGCGGACACAGACCACTGCTTAGGCCATAGATAATCAGTTTTACATTATTTTGGGTGAATGTGTTGTTTTCATTCACTGACAACGGCAGGAATTTTGGCTTTTCCCTGAATATTATTATATTTGTTATTATGGCCAAGTTTTCTATTCATAAATCAGCTGATTATTTATGTTAAACAATACATTTAGTTTATAGCTGAACGTAATAATGATCTGATACCAGAGCTGTACAAACTTTTCATTTCTTGTATCATCTGGGGTGTCCATGTACACAAGTTAGACATGTATTGTTGGTTACACATTGTAAATAGGCTGCTTGGCTAGTTTCTCTGTGTTTTAATTTAAAAAAACTATTTTTTAAAAGATATGTAGCCAAAAGCATGTGTTAAAATATTAAGAAAAAAGAACAGGTAGTATGTAAAATTGTAGTGCATCTTAAATAAATCTCCAATCTCTTCTATACAGATGGAACTAATATGAGTAGCGTGTTTATTAAATTTATACAATTTATTTTTGCATTGTTACAGTGGCCTATGCAGGACTTGGCATCTAAATTAAAAATCGCTGTAGCCTGTAATTAAAGATGATCATCCTCCTGTGAATCAAAACAAGATTATTGTGAAACCTGCATTCTTTAAGTGATTTTAATGCTTTTGGAGTTTTCAGTGAAAGTTGATTTAAATGTTAAACATGGATTGGTTGCAGTGTTGTCGGACATTTTATTAAGACACATGTTCGGTAATCCAAACTCAAAACTCTGAAGGACTGGAGTATATCAAGTATATCAAGACATTTTGGCTTGTGATCTCATGCAACTCCTTTTATTTTACCTGTTGCAGCTACTGTAGTCAGCTGTGGCCAGTTCAGCCAAAGAGTAATTTTATTTACTTTATTTGAAGAGTTCAAACAAATAAAAATATCCCATATTTTGCAAAAAAAGAGGCTAAGAACTATCAAAGGTACGTGGAAGGTCAGGAATGAAAAACGCACCAGTGGATTCCTTGAGTGGGTCCTGAATGCCAAACTGTAAGCCACTGCTGCATAAACTCAGGATAAATGATGCTGATCCTTTGAGCTCCTTTTTTCAAAAAAGCCTAGAATGGGCAAAATGACAGTCTTTGTAAAGTACACATACTGTATAACTATTTGTTTTTCAGCTCTATATACAGCTCCCAGTCACAAAAACTGCATGTCAGATGTAAAAATTTGAGGTTAAAATCAGGTTCTTGGTGCGTTTGTCTTTGCTGTAGTTGTTCCTCTATTACCCACTAGATGGGGTACTGGTGGACCCCAGGAACCTAACCTGCCACTTTCTACCCCTCCCTAATAGAAAAGGCCCCACACACAAATCCCCCCTCATCCTCTGTGTACTGTAAAAGCACATTTCCATATCAGCAGCCCACTACTGAAGGACAGAACACTGTGTTGTCTTCTCTGGATCCAGGCACGGCCATCTGCACACTCCCCTGTACCCCTTCACATCAGGTGACTCTGGTCTCAACTGGACTGATGCCAAGAATTTAAACTGAAGACCAATTTAGAGTAGTTTCCTTTCCTCACAAGCCCCTGTGGAGAGTTTATCTAATTCTCTCATAGGTATATTTTTGTGTGATGACTTAAGAATCATAGCATCTCTGGCTGCTTCTTCCTTGAGGGCCTAACAAGCTCATTAAGTGTAAATGGACTGTTACGACGCCCCTTTGAATGTATATTAGTAAAATATATTTTCATTCTGAGCTGCTGGTTTTGTGTATCTACAGTTTTATAATGAGATAATTTGCAGTTAGATACTTTCCTCTGTTGATAATAATAATGCAAAAAACAAAACATTAGGAAAGTAACTGTCATTTCATTTTTTTAATGTTTGAGTTATCAATCAAACCAAATCAAGTCATGTCAAGTCCAGCTGACCATTTTGCTAACTAAAAAAGACAAGAGAGGACAGATTTACCCAATCAGGTTTTTTATTTGGAACAGAGCGGCAGATTAGTGACAGGGCCGTGGCACGGAGGATCCACTTCCTCTCGTTCACTCAGCCAATGACAGAAACTCAGCCTTAAAAAATGCGTATGTATAAAAACAGGAATGGGAACAGCAAACACAGAGTAGTGTAGCCTCAGTTAGGCTTCACACACACACACGCCCACACACATACAAATTTACCCTCGCTCTCTCACACACACACACACACACACACACACGTCTTATTTGGCTACACCGGTTTAGATGGGTACAAACGCATGTTTACACTTTGACAGTCACTTTAGAAAAGAGTATGTGTTAAGATCTTTCCTGCCTGTGAGAAAGTGGTGTGTTTGTCTGTCTGTCCTGCACAGACAGACAGTAAAGAGACAGTCAGTGTGTGTGAAAGCGACTGTGAGGGACCAGCTCCCCCACATTCAGCAGTGAACAGACTAAACACATGCAAACACACACATTGACAGGCCAGTCAGTGTACATAAGAGTCTGCTGTGAAATACCAAGGTGAAGCTCTCGCACACATACATACAGATGGCGGGTTTAGATGAGGTGTAGACACACACACAAGACGTACTCACTCTGGCGAGGGGCAGGCAACTTACACGCACAGGAGTGGAAGAGGTGTGTTACCTGTCTGTGGAAGAGCATGAAAACTGCTGGAGTAGGTAAATGCACACTCGACCACAGCACATTCCAACATTAACTCACCCCTCTTTTCTTTCAAACACACACACAGGCAAAACACACACACTAGTATAGTTTTGACTCCCATGCAGTTTTGTTCTACAGTACTGAGTATAATAGAAGCTACTAGCCCAGTCGCACTGGTGTGGTTATTGTTACAATCTCTTAGATAGAAGCACAGCCTGTCTCCTCACATTCCCCTTCCTAAACCTGATCCTGTCCCTTCCCCTAAATGGTCCCTGCACATTAAAGTTGACCCTACAAACACCAATTCAGTGTTTTCCTCACATGAGCAACACATTAATAATATATGATTTTGACTGAATTAGTGTATGTGGAGGCAACTTCATGCACAGATTCCTGTTTTTCATTAAAGCCCCTCCCACATCCCAGAGGCCCCTCCCACCCCCAAACAGAGAGCCAATGGTGGAAGAAACAAAGCGAGGCATGCAAAGGGTGCATGGACATCAGATGATGTGGTGATTGGACATGTAGTTGTGCTGTTACACAAACAGACCAAACTCTAAACCAACCAGCAGCTGCTGGATAACTAATCAATAACATATTGAAACCACCTGATCTGAAGCGGTGACTATTACAGTAACAATGGTGGTGATGATGGGTTGAGAAGTTGTGTTTAAATGGACAGAAAGTATATGTCTGCATCTGTGTAAGCGTGTGCACGTGTGTATATGTGGCTGACCAGAGCACAGCTCATCTAAAGCGATGACAGATGTGATGAATAAAAACTCTTCATGATCATGCAGATGGTTAGTGATGCCAGAAACAATACACTGATATTTACATATAAACTTTTTTAAACTGCTAAATACACATCCTCCTCTTTAATTATCATTATTATTACAGTATTATTATTATTGTTCACCATCCAGCCCAAAAAAATGTGATATATTATTGATTATTATTACCATCCATAACTAGTCTTTGTACAGCTTCGAGAAGCAGACGGGCCACCAGCTCAGTGTGTGCGTGAGCTAACCTTGATGCGACCAGCCAGTTTCCGGAGCAGCTCCTCAACATTGCGAAACATACCAAGGGTTGAGCACTGTTTTCTGGTTGGCCGAGCACAGAGAGAGAAGTCAGAGCCACCTTCAAACAGACACAAGTGTGTGTGTACGCATGTGCATGTATTTACGTGGGCTGTATGGATGTGGGTGTGGGTGTGGGTGTCTCTGAGCACTACAGGGATGGAAGGCACAAAAGAGACCTTTCCTCTCACCTTTGACCTAGGGCTCTGTGCGGCCGGCCAACCAGATGCTCTGTGTGTTTTTTTTTTTTAGGTGGGGGGGTGGGGTGGGGGACAGAGTTGAGCCCACCACTCCCTTTTTCTTTTGTGCATCACTGAGCTCGCTCCACCCCTCTCCTCTTTCTTTTAGGCCTTTTCAGTTGATCCATAAAAACAGAAGAGGAACTTTTTGTGTGCTGGAAAACACAGGTTAAGAGCTCATGTTTTGTTTTGTTTTGTTTTTTTACAAAATTATCATATCATTACATACAGAACAAGAGAATCTCTAGAATATTAATAACAACATTTACTTTAAAAAGATCTCGTGTGTATGTAATTTTTTCACAATATATTTGGATGTTTTCTTTTTTTTTGTCCTCTTTTTCCATTTTCACTGAAAAGAAAGTTCCAAGTCCACAGAGAGAAAGGTGCTCCCAAGTGTTGTGGAGACAAGAGGAGACAGGGATGAGGAGAGGTGAGCAGATGAAGGAGGAGTGATGAAGAAGAAGAGGAGGAGGAGGAGGAGGAGGATGGGGGCTTAGAGTATCTTTCTTCTCTCGCTTGCTCTTTGTCGCTCCCTCGGTGTGTGGTGTCTCTGTAGTACGAGTGTTATGCATAAAACTCCTCCTGCTTGTCTGGTTTCTGGTAGGTGACTGTGGCCTGTTTGGGCTCCTCCAGTGTGTAGCTGCCCTCATCCTTCTTCTTCATCCTGTACACCAGCAGCATCACCAGGAAGGCAGCGAACATGGCACCCACCACGCCCCCCACTATCACCGCTGGAGAAAGACAGAAAGAGAGGGTGGATCTCTTAAGAACCATCATTACAGATTTGAACACAAAAATACACATAAACACTCAAATACACTTAGAGCCACTGTGACGTCCTGCAGCAGGCTACATCACTACAAACACATGCTGCTTTAAAAACACTCCTGGTCTGAAAGCACAATAAAGATACGCAGGATCACTATCTCCTAGCCGCCAAGCAAAGACTGATGAGCTTCAATGTGCCAACATACATCCTGTAATAAACTGCAGCCCTGAGGTGCTACATTATACCATAGTTTAGCCCAGTGGGGTTGGTGTAACCAATCCACTGAAGCAGTATTTTTCCACCGTCCGCATCACTAATGAACTCTTGCTGTGTTTAATAGATTAAAGTGGTTATCAGATGGGGAAAAACGTTCCATCATTAAACTAATTGGTATCAGTGCCAAAACAGAGAACAAATGGTTTGTTATATTTCTCTATTCTTGACACTTTTTTGTTTCCATTCATTGTGTGGGAGGTGTTTGTTTTGCTTGCTTTATCCCATTACTGCCAATATCAGAATGCACAAGCTGGGGTATTTAAAATAATCTAGCTTTCCACCATCTTCTCAAAAAACTGCAGAAGGACTGAACCTTTTTAACAAACAATTTCTTGTACTTGAATCTTTTTGAAAATTTCAGTTACTTTTTCTTTAGTCAGGTCATGTCGTTTTTGTGTTTACCATCTCTGATTTTACTGTGGAACAATGTTGGGCATGAGAAATATTATATTAACAATTTCACATGCACCTTTTGCAGTTTCTTATTAAAAAACAACAACAGTAAACTACTTTTCCTTAAATCAATAATATCATAACATCATTGCCATCACTGCCTAATATTATTATGCCTAATATGCCTATATAAATATTTTTCGCCAAGCTAGCAGCATGGATATATGAATGGCAAGATCATATGGTTCATCACCACTTTAATCCAGACTTAAATATATTAGATGGATTACCATAAAATTTGGACACATTACATATGAGATAAATTGCAATAACACTGGTGAACCTGTTACTTTTCATCTAGCACCATCAGCAAGTCAAAAATTTTCATGTCCAACAATTTGGTTTATGACCTGCAAAACTAATGCCATTCCGATCAGCCCCAGCAATGTAGCAATGTTTTGCTAGCAAGTGCTAGCATGCTAACATGCTAAACTTAATACAGTGAACAAGGTAAACACAATATACTTGCTGAACATCAGCATGTTAACATTATCACTGTGAGATTTTCAGCATACTTAGCATGGTAAGATTAGTGTTTAGCTCAAGGCAAAGGGCAAACTCACAAAGCCGCTAGCATGACTGTTGATGCTTTTTCAAATATTGACACACCCACCACAGCACTGTTAAATAATGTATAGTTTATGTGGGCCATGGGGTGTGAAGTAATTGTAACTGTTTTTGAAAAAAAAAAACTATATGAGGTAAACAACTACAAGCAGTGCACCAGATTATCTCAAATGGCTCGAGCAAAAATTAGCCTGACTGACTGGAAATTTCCTTGCCTTGTTTATCAAAACCTAAAAGAAAGTATATTTGTTTCACTTTAATGACTAGAAAACCCTGACGTTTTTGATGGGTAAATCAAAATCCAAGTCTTCTTAATCAGTGTGTGAAAATTCTAATTCTAAGATGGTAATTACATTTTACTGTAGATTAGCATAATTAGCCTGACTATGTATAGCACCATATATGAACGCATGAGTCTGACACGCAGCTAATTGGGTTCTATCACACAAACAGTCTAGTCTAAGTCTGTTGCCTCCTGCTCTTTACCAATGACCAGGAAATCAGTGAAAACCACCGCCAGCAGTCCGCCAATCAGAACAGCTAAAGAAGAGAAAAAGATCCAATCAGGTCAGGCAAGTTGGCTGCTCCTTCACTTTCTACAACAGTTCATTGGGATGAGGAGTGAGGGGCACTTGAAAAGAAATTGGATTTACCCAGAGAGAAAATGATGAGAAAAAGGGGGCGGAAAGGAGGGGCTGGATATCCCAAGAAGAGGATTGCTTGTTCTCAATGGGTCAAATGGGGCTAAGTAGCACATTCACTTATGGTGATGAATCTGCACTATGTGAATGTGAGGTAATGCTTGTTTATCTCTGCAGCTCCCCGGAAGCAAGGACAAAATGCAGGAGGCAATGTAATATGTTGCCCTAAGAGGTGATTAGCAAGTGGTTTATTTGACAGAAAGGCAGAATGACAGAGGGACAGGGTCAGACAGACACAGAGCTGTATGACCAGGACAAACATTTGTATATGACAAAAACCCCATGAAATTACTGACAGATATTCTTACCTATTAAGACCTCTTTTCTCTCCAAGATGTTTTTCTGAGGCAGCTGGGCAGCAGAATTTCCTCCATCCACTGTGTTGCCAATCAGGTCAGGATCCACTGGCACTATACCTCGACCAAGATCATTACGGCGGTCCTCGTGGATCTCAAAATCTCCACTTGGTCCTGCAGCACCCACGTCATTATTACCCTCCTAAAACAAAAAAGAAAAATGAGACATGATAGGAAATTTACATTTGATATAATCACATTTGTTCCATGGAGCTGCTACAGTGAAACTTATCCAAAGCAACACAAACATGGAACTTTCCATGGCGCATGTTCACCTGTGAAACAATGAGCCTCTGTATAGTCTGACTGGTGGAAAGTTTCATATTGTCCTACACATATACAGACTTAATAAAGTATGGCAACTTGATTACAATTTGGAAAACCAGACAAATGTATCATGATTTATTGCAGAGCTGTTGCAAATAAACAGAAGCATAGCAATCAGAGAGATTACCCTGTTCTATAAATAATTTAAGTGTCATTCAGAAGTTGAGCTGGGTATCAAATGTCAATGGTTTACTGGTAGCAACAGAAATGATTCACAAAAGCATTTCTGTCCCTGGTCAGATTTGTGGTCTTATTAGTTGATCAGACAGTTTTTGATTTAGATCATGAGTTTGACAGGTTTAGACTATATATATTTAGGTCACATTTTTATCCAGCTGCTGGTGTTTAGACAACATTAAAAAAGTTAAGGCCCATCAAAAACCACCAATTAATCGATTGTACTAACAAGTGTCTGTGCAGCCAAAGCCTGATACTGTATATCTTCTTCTTCTGTGCCTCTATTTATATACACATAAATGAACCACACTGTTGCACTGGATGACATGTTGTGACAATGGTCCCCAATAAAAACACTACACCAGTTGAAGTAAAAAAGGAATTACTTTTTAAAAAATGAAAAACCCCATATTTGTGATTCACAAAACAATTTACATAAACTTCCATGAGTCTGGAAAAAGTTAGCTTAGCATAAGGATTGGAAAAAAGAAAACAGCTAGCCTGGTTTTATCCAAAGCTCAAAAACTCAGCACCTCTAAACCCACCAATTAATACGCAATATATCTGCACACAAAAAGCAATGTAAAGATTTCTAGGGGGTTATGTGCAGCCATTTCCCCTGACTTCTGGTCTTTATGCTAAGCTAATTGGCTCCAAGTTTTAGCTACATGCTTAAACTGATCGATTTCTTATTTAACTCTTGGCAACGATGTGAATACAAATATTTCTCAAAATGTTGAACTTTACCCTCAGGTAACTCTGCGAATAAAAAAGTGTTTGACATGTTTTTGTTCCATAATAAAGGGTTTATTTTGGTACCAGAGCCAAAACCTGGGAAACATATTGGGAACAGTAGAAATATTTAAAAGAATATCCAACTGTTGTCTGAGGTGGTGGTGACTCATATTTTGAATCCTACCTGTGTAGTTGTGGGCTTCTGTGGGCGTGTCGTTCTCTCTGTCAGCGTCACCTGAGTGGCTGTCGTCATGGGAACCCTGGGCCTGAGGGGAACCCTGATCTTTACAGTGGTGGTGGCAGCGGTGGTGGTTGGAGCAGTGGTCGAGGCTTCAGGTGTAGTCTCTGCTGAGGTGGGCGTTTCTTCCTCTGTGGTAGTTTCCCCGTCAAAGGCTGGGAAGAATGATGTGGGTTCAGGTGATAAGAAGACATCCAGTTCTTCTTCTGTAGTGCTCAGGTCATCCAAACCAGCAGAGGGTGCTGTGGTTTCCCTGATGCTGGTTGGTGGGCTAGTGGTCACCACAGGAACAGCAGCAGATGACCTTGGCACAGTGGTAGTCTGAGCAGCGGCAGCGACCCTAACTCGCTCCAGCTCTCTTTGTCTTTCTCTCTCTTTCTCTCGCTCTCTCTCACGTTCCCTCTCTCGCTCACGTTCTCTCTCTCGCTCTCTCTCCATCTCTCTGACCCGTTCCCTCTCTCTTTTTTTTTAAATATTTCTCCTTCTCCAGCTCCCTCTGCCTCTCTTGCTCTTTCTCCCTCTCTCTCTCCAGTTCCCTCTGCCTCTCTTGCTCTTTCTCCATCTCTCTGTCCAGCTCCCTTTCTTTCTCTAGCTCCCTCTCTCTATCCCAGAATGCACCACTCTCTTCGGCAGCCTCAGTGGGCAGTGGGGTGGAGGTGGAGTCTTCAGGATTAGGGCTGGGCTCAGCTGCAGGTGAGGCGGAGGGGGCTGGGCTAGTGGCCTGGGTGGTGGAGAGGAGGAGGGGCTCTTCTGTGGAGAAGGTTGCACCCATTGCTGTCGGCCTCAAACTGATCTCAGGGACTAAAGAGCAGAGGAAAGGAAAGAAATGTGACTTAATTAAACAACAATAAGACACCACAGTCACACACACACCCATCCATCAGTGTAGAACACTGCCCAACCACTCAACCCACCCACCCACACACTCACAAATAAGTAAATCAAAAGTTGAGACTATGGTTGGCTCATTCGTTACTCTCTAGTGAGCAGCAATTTGAGATTTCAGACACGCCATCATTTTGCATCATCACCAACAGGAAATTAAATGCAACACATTGAATTGTTTAGTTGCACATATTGAATTGGAAACAAATCACACTCAAAATATGGGCAGTAAAAATAGTTGTCTAGATAATAAATAAAAGATTATTTTTCTAAAGACGTCATTGTTTCCGGCATTTGACAGGATACAACAGAGAATCAGAGAATAATTGGGAGCGTATACAAGGTCCCTGGATGGATTGAGACTGACAGCATCCTTCTTAGACGACTAGTCTATGATGTCCCAAGATGGCAACATTTGAAAGGATTCCTCTTCTCCCCATTTTGACCTTCAATCTACACTCAAGTGGCATTTATCTGAGACAAAAACGGAAATCTTCTAAATCAGTCTCCAGTGTAGATATATCTGAAAATGTTGGCTTTTTGGTGGGAATGAGCTTTTGGAAAAAGATGAGGTTAAGCCTGCTTTGGGGTTGTGCAGCCGTGAAGTCAAAGGGGCACTGCAGCAATAAATGCAGGCTGAATCCTGCTGCTCCCGCAGTGGAAATCAATAGCATGTTTCCACAAGCGGCAACCTCTGAAGTGTTAAAACATGCAGTTCCTCGAATGGCCACTTGGAGCTGGCTCTAAAAGGGAGTCAATCTCTATAGACTCTCATGTTAAAATGTCCAACCCTACAGCAGAAATAAACATTTTTACATCTTCGTACAAAAAACGGTTTTGGTCTCTATAGCTAATTTCCCCTTTCATGACAACTGTATGGGAGGTGCACTTTTATATAACTTGCATGTTTAAATTATATTGAGGCTAAAGGTTACACATAATTATGAGAGCAGCCACTTTGAGTGACAGATAAGAAGGTGCCACCACAGATGGCTAGCTGCTAGCTGTCTAGAAAGCTCCATTCACGCTCTGCCTCTTTGCCCATTTTTGAATGAGCCGTAGGAGGCCGAGTAAAGTGCTACCAATATGGCAGTGATCAGACTTGAGCTTCAAAACTGTTCTTCAGAAAACCAATGGGTGACGTTATGGTGGGTTTGTCCACCTTACATATACAGCCAGTGGTTTTCCCTGCCTGATGAACGTCTTTTAAACTCCACACTTCCAGTTTGTAATCAGGCTTACAATCCTATATTCTAGGTCTCCAAACCCAAATCAAGACAACCCTCTCATAAACATAATTGTGTGTAAAATGGTTGAACTATTCCTTTAAAAAAACAACTCTGTCTCCTCTTTTTCTGTGATTGCTCATTTCACATGCCAATATACCCAATAACACCCAAGTCTATGTTTATTTAGCCAAATTATTCCAGGATCATAAAATATTAATCTTACTGACTCCGTGCAGCAATCAGTCACAATCAACATGCTATTTTCTGCTCGTTCAGCTGTCTGACAACAGACACAAAAAACAAAATACGAATAAAAATCAGAATCAGAATCCGTCTATTAGTCATGCATGCAAGCATACAAATCTTGTGTCTTGGTGTATAGCAATGTAGACAGATAGGAATTAAAGTACAAGCAGAACAAAATAACAGCTGCACAAATACACTAAGACAAAAAAAGACAAGCAGTCTAATGTCGGTGTATAAGGTTGAGGTGCATGGTGAAAAGACAATATATGTGTAAATGAGAACAACTACACAGAACTGAGAGTTCGGCTGTATGAAAACATGAAGAGCAGGAGGGGACAGAATGGAGGTTTAACCATTTGAGAGCAGGCTTTCTGTCCTTCTCCTGACCAGGTGTTTTGTTTGCAGTTGGCTGACAGAAGCAATAGTGAAGAAGGAGAAGAAGAGATTTAATCGTAGTTCTTTTGTTTTGGCACTTTAGTGTGGATTGAGATCTTTAAAAAATGGCTGGTGTGGGTGCATGTCATTTTCATACAATGTGGGCATGGTGTGAGAGAAGAGGAGAAGAAAAGAAAGGAGAGGAGGCGGCACTGATGATGAATTCATTTTCTTCTTAAATCTCATAATGGTATTATACCACCTTTCATTTTGTTATAGCACTGAACCTCCCTGGGTTGAAAGAGAAACAAATTGAATTTATGGGCACAAAGACATGAAAGCTGACAGAGGAGCTGGAAAGGATATCGGAATATGGACTTGAACAATGTAGCTTCTGTTCAGCATATCAGATACAGAATGTGAGGTTCTGAAGCTGCAGCAGCACAAAACGCACATCTGTCTGCTGAAAATGAGCCTTTTCTCAGAATTCATAAGGCTCAATAAAGACATTTGCTGGGCTGCTGTTTCTACCACAGGGGGTGCCTGCGCTGCGCTCTCCTGCTTGGAATTGTAATTTATTTTGACACTAGCGCAATGCCTAGATCGAGGGCAGCTCTCAATGAATCATGCTTAATAAGGAGAGCCATGGTCAAGCTTCAACAGCACGATCAGAAAATCACTCTGAATTACACAAATGTGATTTATGTTAAGTAGGTAATTCCTACACGTGCAGGCGACCGGCTCACACAACTGCAGGTGTGCGTGTGATAGTCTGACCCCTGTTGCACTGTAATCTAATTAGAGTAAATAAGATCTGAGACCTGAGTTGGTGCTTGTTTGCAAGGGTGTGTCTGTGCTTAAAGGTATTTTCAAATAAATCAGTTTCAAAACCTGCCTGTCAAGCCAAATAGCGTGTTTGAATTGTGTGTGTATGTGGTGTCTGTGCGTGTGAAGCTGGTGAATAGAGGCAACCGTAACTGGAGGTGATGGGGTTTGGAGGGTCTTCAGGGTCAGCAGATTGAAACCCAGCAGCTGTTGAGATTGAAAGAACCAAGGAACGAGTGTGTAACCTCTCTCTCACACACACACACACACACACACAGTGAAACACACACACACACACACTTACAGCCAGAGCCGGAGCCTGAGTAAAGGTCCTCGTCATCGATGAAGCCGTCATTTGTCGAGCCTTCATCATCAATAGGCGGCAACCGTATTTGTTGCTGTTAGAGACACATAGGGGGTGGGGGGTGGGGTGGTCACAGACGACAGAGATTATTCATTGTGAATGACTGAGCTGTTTGTCATCACATTTAAAAGAGAAACCACTTTGGCAGATTACATGCACACACAGAACACTCTGAGAGGACGGGCAGGCAGCATTATGGTGGACAGGGTAACATCTGTCTGTCTGGGACTCCATGGAGGAGCATAGTTAATGAGTTCATCTAAAGGTGGGATTTTGGCAGAGGAACATCAAAGCCTTTAAGGAGAGAGGGGCTTCATGTAGTCTCTGCTTACGTTTCAGTTCCAAGTGATGCTCAGACTGTAAAGCAGCAAGGCAGAGGAAAGCAGTTAACTTTCTGACCTTTTCTATTATTGATCAATAAGTTAATCATTCTTTAAAATGTCACTGAATTGTTTAGTCCATAAAAAAAGCATAGATGGCGTCCTTAAATTGCTAGTTTTTTTTCTGACCGACAGTTTAAAACCCAAAGATGAGTTCAGTTCAGTTTATAAAGACATAAAACAGAGAAAAGCAGCAAATCTTCACATATGCAAATCAGTTATTAATTTGTCGAATTGTCCATCAACTAAATGTTTGAACACTACTTCGTTTTTATCTATAAAATGTCAAGAAATAGTGAACAAGACTAGGATTCTACAGCCAGTCGATACTTTTGTCAGTAAACATTTACCATAGTTTAGTTTGTATTCCCTGTGTGGACAATATCAGAGTCTCTGCTTGACTGCTCTCTTAACTCTCAACTTCACTGCTGCTTTACGACATCACCCCCCCACTCATCACTCCACCTTAATCCCTGCCTATCTCATTCTGTGTCTGGAAAGCAGGGGAGTGCCTGGTGACCTCTGTCAGGGTCAGGTAGGAGAGATTAGTTGTGGATCATTCGAGAGCTGAACGTCTGAAGAGAACGCCCTCTTAAACTTCCCAGGTCACATTGAAGCTGACTCCTCCTCTCTCTCTTTTCCTCTTCACCTTAGCCCCACATCCCTGCGATGTTTAAACACACACTCCAGCATCCAGACGCTTTTCCCATCACACACAGGCTCAGATAATGTTAGGGTGATTTTTATTTTTAAGTAGATATGACCACAATAATACTGCCATCAAATGCATGCACTTTAGCGACACCGCCTGTGCTGCATTGCAAAGATCCTTTTCAAACTACACAATTTGTCTGAAGACTTGAATTTGGTTTCAAAGAGTAGAAGAAGAAGCCCAAATCTAATTACTTGTACTTGTCGAGCATTTGCAAGTACTATAGATTTCATGAAGATTACAGCTGATTTTGGCCACTCAAAATACGCTCACATTTACATATTCAACGCACTGTATACTCCTTTTTTCAAGTCTACAAGAGTATTTCTATTACTGCTTGTCAGTGACAGAATGTATGTGAGTTCATTTACTTTTTAGGTTTGAGCTACTTGAACTTTGAGTATTACCATTTTACTTCATATTACAGCGTCAGTAATAATATATTATTAAAATAGATACTAATATTCTAAGAGAGGATATTCTGCATATTTTCATTTTGAAAATGCTGTATTAATTGATTGTTCTTACAGGCTACAGAAAAAATTGTGAACAACACACTAAAGTTGATCAACTTGCTAGCAAATGTTTGCTTATTTATACATCCAGCCGACACAGAGCAACATTAACACTGACGTGTCTGGTGATGTGATGAATCCAATAGCTCCTCTGATCAGCATTTTTATCTGGACCAACTGCTGAGCAAAAAATATGTGGCTTTTTAGTTGCTGAATGCTCTGCCACATGTTTACTGCTCAGCCAGTCGTTTACCGTCTCTGTCAGTGGGTTTATCCAAGTTTCTTCACTGGCTGCCTGCTGCATCTGGAAACAGCACTGCTGAGAGTAGTACAAGTTTGAAAAGGAAAGAAAAACAAAACAAGGAGCTGAAAGTTACCAAAATGATCGGTAGAACTGAGGGATACTGTAAAGTCGAGTGATGCATCACTAAAAGCGTCATGTTGTTAACGTTACTAACTTCTCCATCTAATTTTCGATTGTTATGAGCAAAATGAGGGTCAAAACAAACTCAAGCAGTATCCCCTCATCGTCTCACTCTGCTCCTATTTGCCTACTCTTCTGTGCTACAGAACATGGCCTCTTGGGTCTAACAGGTCCACTCCCATCCTGGGTTGTACCTGCACAGGGAGCCTCCATGGTCCGTCTTGTAAGCACAGATGAGTGGGGGCGTGGAAGAAGTGCGGTGCAGATTTTAACAACACTGCCCAGAGAGGGACAGAAATAAACACAGGGCCTGAAGATAGCACAGTGGGGTGGGGGTGGGGTTTAGTACAGCAGGGAGACAACACTTCTTGACAGTTTTATACTTGATTTATCTAAATTTGTTCTAAATCTTAGTTAATGCAGCTTTAATTCCATTTTGCTGACAGTATGTATATATTTTTTACTTGCTAATGTATTTTTACGGTGCAGTGGTGCTACTTTTACTTAAGCAAAGGAGCTGAATACTATTATATTACTGTTTGTTGAACCTCAGCTCAGCACATACTGAGTAGTACAGTGATCGAATGCCAAAAAAATAAAGAGCTGCATTTTGCTCCAGGTATTGGAAAACAGTCAGGCCACTGTTGAAAATGTGACCAAAGCAAATTATCTCTCCAGTAATCTTAAGCCCATCCTGAGGCTGTGTAGGGCTGTGTCTTTGCTAGCCTGTGTAATGCTAATTGTACACACACACATACAGAAACAGAAGCTCCTCCCCGGCTCCAGACCTAGGAAACCTGATGCCTTTAAAAGCCAATAAAAGCATAATGGAATCTAGAAACCCGAGCATCTCAGTCCATCACATCTCAGCGTGAGGTGGAGCTGAAACGCTATATGTAGTTCCTGCAAATGAAATTGATTTGAAGTTGTTTGGAGCCTCGACACACTGAGGATATGGGCTTCACAAAGTGGCAGGCTGAGAGAGTGTGTGCTTCACGCTTCGACTGTAAATGTGTGTGTGAGAAAGAGAGACGGTGTGTGTGTGTGTGAAGGCCTGGTGATCTCAGACCCTGAAAGTGCTGAGAAGTACTGAAAAGACATCTCAGTGTGAGCATGGTGCAAATGTGTGCGTTTGTGTGTGCGCTGTATTCCAAGGATCAGTTTTACAATGAAGGCCGTTGCTATGGGCAACCTTTGCCTTTCACATAAATTCCCGTTTCCCTGTGAGAAGCTACCAGACAAACACCAGCAGACACACATATAAAAGCTGTAGCTACATAAGCAAAGGTGTTATGTAATGTCAAATAAACAACCTAAAAAACAACATCAAAACAGTCTGCTCCTCCAGCTCCCCCCTCTATCTGTCCCTCCCTCTCCACCTCCCATCACCTCCCTCTTCTGGATCCACAGACTCTGTGCCAGTTTATCCATCCTCGCTTCATTTTCCTTTCATCTGAAACTCAATTTCTTATCTTGAGGCTAGTCTCTTAAATTTGGCATGACTCTGAAAAACACATGCATGCCTAAATAAACACACACCCCACCCCAGGGGCCCCTTTTGCAAGTCCCCTAAACACACAACAACCTCTAGGACAGACTGTAGCTGCAGATGCCTGTCTCATGTTGGGCGGTTTTCAGTTTTGCAAGTGATACGTGCTGTTGAAGCATGTGCCACCTATGTGTACCTTTAAGAGTAGTATGTATTCATCTGTTTTGCCTCAACATGTTTAATTTTAAAGGCCATATTATAAGCATGAATTAACTATGACAGGCAGCAGTGCGTCACTGTATGTAATTACAGTGTCTGTGTCTGAATGGATATAATCACAGGTTTTGTTTGTGATGTGTGTGTGTACATGAACACTCAAATGCCCCTCAGACTTGTCTATGTGGGTGTCTTACATGATTTGGGGCCAGCTCTGCATTTTGCCTCCGTTTCAGGAGCTATAAACAGCAATACTTTCAGCCTGCGCCACATAGCTAACTAACCACAATGAGCTCTCCTCAATCGCACACACAACCCGGGGCCAAAATCATCTGGATGTTGCCCTCAATTTCCCTCCACCACTGCAATTCATTCCCATTCAACGTAAAAGGATCTGTGGGGTCAATGCAATTCTGGCTTTTGGCATCGTATGAAGCAGTGCCATTGTAAGACATGCGGTGGCAGTTGGAGTCATTTTAAAACAATCTGGGAGTCTGGAATATATAATGATCTAAATTTGTTTAAAAAAAGAAGAAGAAAACATCAAAATGA